AAAATTAGCCAGGCATGGTGGCGGGCACCTATAATCCCAGCTTACTCAAGAGGCCTAAGGCAGGGTATTTTTAGTAGAGATGGGGTTTCACCATGTTGGCCAGGCTGGTCTCGACCTGACCTCAGGTGATCCACTTGCTTCGGCCTCCCAAAGTGCTGGGATTACAAGTGTGAGCCACCGCACCGGGCCCAAACCTCTATTTTAACACAGTTTACAACACGGTGTGCATCATATGACCACAAATATGTGGATTTACCCTGAGTTAGACTTGTCGCCCGAGGGCTAAACCTGGTCAAAGACGTTTCCGCATTTGTTCCTCTGCGAATGCGCTTCTTGCCCCCAGCTCCACCCCACACAGAGATGGGCACAAATACAGTGAAGATGTGAGTTGAGTGAGCACACACTCGTGGTAAGCCACTTGTCATTCCTAAACTATGACATCTTAGGTTGCCAGCTGCACTGGGTTCCAGTCAGTGATACTCTACAGTCGTGGTTCTCTCCTGAGCTGGATGGATCAGCACTTGTCTTGTTTGATTCCTCTCACAGAGTCTGGGGGTGGTGGCATCTCCCCTAAAGGATGTGGTCCCTCCGTGGCAAGTGATAAAATCTCCAGCTTTGCCTCAGCTCGCCCAGACAGAAAGCCTGCATCCTTTTCGTCATTGGAACCCCAGGATCAGGAGGATTTGGAGCCTGTGAAGAAGAAAATGAAAGGAGGTTAGTGTCTGGTTGTGTGTGTCCTCTGCCCTATCGTGAGCTCCCGGGGCGTGCAGGGGCCGCTGCCATGCTCTGTGCTGTGGGGCGTTGCTTCCTGCAGGGGCATGTGGACCCTGTCTCAGGTTGATGCCTGTGAACACCTCTGGCATTTTCATTCAGAAAACCTGGGCCTGTTTTTTGTGGTTTGCATAATCCCGATAGCACTGTGGTTTACTACAGGCTATTCTCTTGGTCTGGAAATAGTCCGTTCTGAGTTGCAGAATTAATCTCAAAGTCCTCCTTCCTGGCCAGGTGCGGTAGTTCATACCTGTAATCCTAACACTGGGAGACCAAGGCAGGAGAATCTCTTGAGGTCAGGTGATCAAGACCAGCCAAGACAGAGCAAGACTTGGTCTCTAAAAATAAAAATCAAGCCAGACGTCGTGGCTCATGCCTGTAATCCCAGCACTTTGGGAGGCCAAGGCGGGCAGATCACCTGAGGTCAGGAGTTCTAGACCAGCCTGGCCAACATGGTGAAACCCCGTCTCTACTAAAAATGCAAAAATTAGCTGGGTGTGGCAGCTCATGCCTGTAATCCCAGCTACTTGAAAGGCTGAAGCAGGAGAATTGCTTGAACCCAGCAGGTGGAGGTTGTGGTGAGCCAAGACTGTGCCATTGCTCTGCAGCCAGGGCAACAAGAGCAAAACGCTGTCTCAAAATAAATAAGTAAATAAATAAAAATCAAAAAAGAAAGCCCTCTGCCCTGGTAGGACAATAATTTCTAAAAATGTAGCTTGAATCTTCACATTCACAGGTTGTCTGACACGTGGAGTTGATCGGCATGGGGAAGGTGTGGAAAGAATCAGCAACAGTTACATAGGAAAAATAAGCACAGGAGTGAGGAAATTTTAATTCTAGCAAACATGAAAAATGGTGTAAGTCCTACAACAATCTAGTACACTACTTGGCTCAGCAGTGAATACTTGCATAAGCAGAATACAAATACAGTATCATGAACTAACGGTTGTGTTAACATAATGTTGGTGGGGGGGTCTCAGTTCAGAGTTTTGCTCTACGGTAATAGATGTCAGGGATGATGTCTACAATTGATAAATCAACATGTACCATGATAACTTAGAAACACAGAGGTAAATACCAGAAGAAACAGCTCAAAGACATGAAAGTAGTTTTCCTCCAAGGAGGGAAATCAGGTGAGGAGCAGCTGAGGCAGAAGGTGACTGCCTTTGTTTTCTTCTAAATATATTATCTATACATTTTTTTAAGAGACAAGATCTTGCTTTGTCATCCAGGCCAGAGCGCAGCGGCTCAGTCTTAGTTCACTGCAGCCTCCGCCTCCTGGGCTCAGAGAGTCCTCCCACCTCAGCCTTCTGAGTAGCTGGGACCGCAGGTGCGTGCTACCATACCCGGCTAATTTTTTTTTTTTTTTTTTTTAGAGATGGGGTTTCATTATATTGCCCAGGCTGGTCTCGAACTCCTGGGCTCAAGTGATCTCCCTGCCTCAGCCTCCCAAAGTGCTGGGATTACAGGCGTGAGCCATTGCATCTGGCTTCTTGTAAATATTTGGCTTTTTAAATTGTGTGCAGTTTATTTAATTAAAAATAAAAATTAATTGATGATTACCAACATCTCAGCATTAAAGAAAAATGAAAACACACCCGAAGAGGGTCAGGCGCAGTGGCTCAAGCCTGTAATCCCAGCACTTTGGGAGGCCGAGGCAGGCAGATCACGAGGTCAGGAGATCAAGACCATCCTGGCTAACACAGTGAAACCCCATCTCTACTAAAATACAAAAAATTAGCCAGACGTGGCGGCGGGCGCCTGTAGTCCCAGCTACTCGGGAGGCTGAGGCAGGAGAATGGTGTGAACCCGGGAGGTAGAGCTTGCAGTGGGCTGAGATCACGCCACTGCACTCCTGCCTGGGCGACAGAGTGAGAGACTGTCTCAAAAAAAAAAGTTAAAGAAAACTCAAGATGTTACCTTCTTCTCAACTCCAATGACATTGGAATTGCTAAACAATTAAACCACACAAAACTGTTCGTATGCTTGTTTCAAGTAAAGAAATCAACAACACATTTTTGAGACTCCATCTCAAAAAAAAAAGACAAAAAAACACACCAGAAGAAAAAAATATGAGCTGCTGTTGACATCTTCAGTCTCTGTTTTCAGCCTTCTCTTCTGTGACACAAACGAGTCCCAGTTTGTGTTTAAACAAAGTGACATCATACACCCTGACAGCTGGCCTTCAACACTAACTCACATCCTGAATGTCTTTTTTAATGTTATTAACCATGTCTCTAAAACAAAACTTAAACCTATTGGAATATGAGATTTATTTTGGACCTTCTGAAAAATACCCTATTTATTTATTATTTTTTTGAGACAGTGTCTCACTCTGTTGCCCAGGCTGGATTGCAGTGGTCCAATCTTGACTCACTGCAACCTCTGCCTCCCAGGTTTAAGCGATTTCCGGCTAATTTTTGTATTTTCGGTAGAGACGGGGTTTTCCCTGTGTCAGCCAGGCTGGTGTCAGACCGCCTCGGCCTCTCAAGGTGCTGGGATTACAGGCGTGAGCCACCTCGCCCAGCCAAAGATGCGCTTTGGAAATACAAAGATAAGGTAAGGCCTCTGTGTTTTCTGCTTCTGGTTCTGAACATCTGTGGCCTGGAGATTTTCTCTTTCTACAGGTGAAGATGTTTGTCAGCTCAAAAGACTGCATGTGCCAGGCGCGGTGGCTCACGCCTGTAATCCCAGCACTTTGGGAGGCCGAGGCGGGTGGATCACGAGGTCAGGAGATCGAGACCATCCTGGCTGACACGGTGAAACCCCGTCTCTACTAAAAATGCAAAAAATTAGTGGGGCGTGGTGGCAGGCACCTGAAGTCCCAGCTACTTGGGAGGCTGTGGCAGGAGAATGGCGTGAACCTGGAAGGTGGAGCTTGTTGTGAGCCGAGATCGCGCCACTGCACTCCAGCCTGGGCAACAGAGCAAGACTCCGTTTCAAAAGAAAAAAACGACTGCATGTGTTTCCTCGGTTACGACAGTCAGAACACATCCCTTTCTCTTGTAGACGGGGACCTTGACCTGAACCTGCAGTTGTTGGTCGCACAACCGCGTGGAAACGCCCAAACCGTCCAGGAGGACGTCAGAGCAGCGACTGGGAAGCCAGACAAGATGGAGGAGACGCTGACATGCATCATCTGCCAGGACCTGCTACACGACTGCGTGAGGTGCGACTGCGTTCACCCTTGGCTCATGGAACATGGCACTGCAGGTTCCTCGTCCAGTGTGGGGCGGGGCTGGGCATGAAACAAGCCTCCAGGTTCTGTTTGGCCTGGCATCTGCTGAGGTTACCATTTTCTTTTTCTTTTTTAGACAAGGTCTGGCTCTGTCACCCGGGTAAGAGTGGGCGCTATCTCAGCCCACTGCAACCTCTCCCTACCCGGCTCGAGCGGTTCTCCCACCTCAGCCTCCTCAGTAGCTGGGACTACAGGTGCACACCACTATGCCTGGCTGACTTTTTTTTTTTAATGTTCTGATTTTATTGTTATTTATGTATTTATTTTTTATTCCTTTTTTTTTTTTTAGATGGAGTCTTGCTCTGTCGCCAGGCTGAAGTGCAGTGGCACGATCTTGGCTCACTGCAACCTCAGATTCCCAGGTTCAGACGATTCTTCTGCCTCAGCCTCCTGAGCAGCTGGGACTGCAGGCGTGTGCCACCAGGCTAATTTTTTTGTATTTTTTGTATTTTTTAGTAGAGCAGGGTTTCACCATATTGGCCAGGCTGGTCTTGAACTCCTGACTTCAGGCGATCCGCCCACCTTCGCCTCCCAAAGTGCTGGAATTATAGGCGTGAGCTACTGCTCCCTGCCACCCTGCTGATTTTTGTATTTTTGTAGAGGCAGGGTTGCGCCATGTAGCCCAGGCTGGTTTTTTGTTTTTGTTTTTGTTTTGGAGTTGGAGTCTCCCTCTGTCACCCAGGCTGGAGTGCAGTGGCGTGATCTCAGCTCAGTGCAATCTCCAGCTCCCGTGTTCAAGTGATTCTTCTGCCTCAGCCTCTCAAGTAGCTGGGATTACACGCGTGCGCCACCACGCCTGGCTAATTTTTTTGTATTTTTAGTAGAGACGGGGGTTTCACCATGTTAGCCAGGCTGTTCTCGAACTCCTGAACTCAGGTAATCTGCCCGCCTTGGCCTCCCAAAGTGTTGGGATTACCGACGTGGGCCACCGTGCATGGCCACCACTTTCATTTTAGTTGTGGCGCCAACAGGGAGGAAACCTGGAACTCTGAGCTGGAGGCTGTAGACCCCACAAGTTTTGGGTGTGTGGGTCGTGTGTGACCCAGTGACCTCTGCAGACAGATGGAAGGAACTGTGCACATTTTAATGTTCCTTAGCCGGGAAGGTGGATTCAGCACGGAATGAATGCAGGGGCAGCTGAGGAAGGGCCTCCTTGCTTTTCCGTGGGAACTCAAGAGTGAGAACCTTCCAGCTTCTGTTCCAGAAACACTTGGTGTCTCGTCGTTTGTGTTCCTGAAGTCATAATCTCACCTCTGTCCCTCCTGAAAACACAGAGGCCATGTGGCCTCTGATTTCTTTACGTTTACGAAGACTGAGTTAAAGGGTTTTTAGGTTGAACGATGGCTGGGCTCCTGTAGGCCCTTCCGTGGTGGGGCTGCCGTGGACCTTGGTCGAGGGTGGTGGTTGCGTCTGTGGGACTGTCTGGACACTGCTCCTCTCACGCTTTCAGTTTGCAGCCCTGCATGCACACGTTCTGCGCGGCTTGCTACTCGGGCTGGATGGAGCGCTCGTCCCTGTGCCCCACCTGCCGCTGTCCTGTGGAGCGTATCTGTAAAAACCACATCCTCAACAACCTCGTGGAAGCGTACCTCACCCAGCACCCAGGCAAGTGCGGGCGGTCCACCCACCAGCACCCAGGCAAGGGAGGGCGGTCCATCCATCAGCACCCAGGGAAATGAGGGCGGTCCACCCACCAGCACCCAGGCAAGGGAGGGCGGTCCATCCACCAGCACCCAGGCAAGGGAGGGCGGTCCACCCAGACCCCTCTTCCACAGCACTGTGCACACAAGCTTCCAGCAGTGTGAGCTGTGTCTGCCTGTTGTGTCTCACTGCTGGCCAATGGCGCTGTGTTCTTTCGATTCTAGACAAGAGTCGCAGTGAAGAAGATGTGCAAAGTATGGATGCCAGGAATAAAATCACTCAAGACATGCTGCAGCCCAAAGTTAGGCGGTCTTTTTCTGATGAAGAAGGGAGTTCAGAGGACCTGCTGGAGCTGTCAGACGTTGACAGTGAGTCCTCGGACATTAGGTAAATCATGCCCCTGGCTCAGAGCAGAGTATGGGAACTGGAGGAGCATCAGAACCAGGACTGAGAGCTCACCACCGGGTGGACAGCGTGGGTCCTGAGTTCCGGTTCTGCCCCTGAGCAGCCAAGCTCTTAAATGGCTTCAGCTTGGTTTCTGGTATTGGATAGAATTAGCACCTCCCCTGAGAGGGCGTGGCAGTGACCGGGTGAACACTTACGGGGGTAGTCGGGTAGCCAGCAGAGCGCCAGCCGCAGGCGGCTGCCAGGACATCTGCACCCTTGGCTGACACCCTTCCCTTAGCTTCAACTCATCATGGGCTGGCATCTCTGGCTGTGACAGAGGGACTTCATTCCATATGTTATTTTTTCCCACATAAGCACATGTATTCTTTGTAGCTGATCTAGTGACTGTAAAGTCCTGTAGTATAAATTACAGCGTTTATCATTTGTCAGGATGTTATTACGGAAGAGGCCCCATCACCTGGACCAGACAGTCCCGGCCTCAGAGACCTTGTTTATCGGCTGCCATGTAGATGTTTCCTAATGCACAAGACCAGGGTCTGAATGTTGGGTCAAGACCATATTTAAAAAGACAATGAACACATTAAAAAAAACCCAAAACTTATCTTTGTTTGCTTTTGCCAAGTTTAACATGTGACTGTTAAGCAAAAAGACGGGAACAAAAACCACTTTAGCGTTAAGATTTTGCTGCATCTTCCCAGCTATTCGTACATGCATCCTAATCGTTAACAAAATGAAATGTAATATACTAACAGGGTTTTTTTTTTTTTGAGACGGAGTTTCGCTCTTGTCGACCAGGCTGAAGTGCAATAGCACAAATTTTATTTATTTATTTATTTATTTATTTATTTTTGAGACAGAGTCTCGCTCTGTCGCCAGGCTGGAGTGCAGTCGCACGATGTCGGCTCACTGCAACCTCCGCCTCCTGGATTCAAGTGATTCTCCTGCCTCAGCCTCTCGAGTAGCTGGGACAACAGGCGCCTGCCACCACACCCAACTAATTTTTTTGTATTTTTAGTAGAGACAAGGTTTCACCACGTTGGCCAGGATGGCCTCAACCTCCTGACCTCGTGATCTGCCCACCTCGACCTCCCAAAGTGCTGGGATTACAGGCGTGAGAAACAAATGTTTTTATGAAGCTCGGATTCGGCTGCACATACAGCTCGGTAATGTCCCCAGCATTTGAATTGGGAAGCACTTGCTGTGCATTTATTTATTTATTTATTTATTTATTTATTTTGAGACGGAGTCTCGCTTTGTCGCCCAGGCTGGAGTGCAGTGGCACCATCTCGGCTCATTGCAAGCTCCGCCTCCTGGGTTCATGCCATTCTCCTGCCTCAGCCTCCGAGTAGCTGGGACTACAAGCGCCTGCCACCACGCCCAGCTAATTTTTTGTATTTTTAGTAGAGACGGGGTTTCACCATGTTAGCCAGGATGGTCTCGATCTCCTGACCTCGTGAGCCGCCCGCCTCGGCCTCCCAAAGTGCTGGGATTACAGGCGTGAGCCACCGCGCCCGGCTCTTGCTGTGCATTTCTTAAGTCCGTGTTTGTGCACACGTGCAGTGACATCAGCATTTAGACGTGAAGCGGTCGAGTCAGAGAGTGTGACTGGAATTGGACCTGGACAGACGTTTGATAAGTTTGTTATCCCCACACCAACGGGAAAGGGTGCGTCTAGTGCGCGCTACAAGGTCTGCACGAGGGGCGCTTTTTGCCAGTTTAGTAGGGAAAATAGGTAATCTCATTTGCATTTACATTTTTTCCTTATGAAAAAATATGTGTCTTTTCACCGTGCTTTGTTTTTTAATCTGGTCAGGTCTTACCCGCTGGCCTTATTGGCCCCTGGCCTTGGTGTCAGGCGCAGAAAAGCCTTTCAGATGGAGAGGAGAGCCTCGTGTATTTTTTCCGACAGGTTCTTTTTTTACAGTTTACATTTTTATCTGCTCGTTTGTGGACGTACAAGGGAAGTGTAGAAAAGACAAGTGATTTGGGGCCTTGCAGGCTCCTGGTTTGACTCCCGGTACCTTGTCCACCGTGCTCTACTTTTAACAGGAGAGTAGGTGGCATCCTGAGGAGCATGAGGTGTGTTCGCATGTGCTGGCCTTTGCCCTGCGCTGGTGTCGTCTCCTGGGAGCACACATCAGTGGGGACTGAGTGGCCCCGGGGATGGTGCTCCAAAGCATGGGGGCTGAGCTGGGGATGTAGAGCGGTGCATCCTCGCCCTTCGACTCCTGTTCTGGTCCCACTCCTCTAACACAGTGGTGCTGGGCAGGAAGGGGGCCTGGCCCCTCCCCTCACACCAAGCAGCTGAGTGAGGGTGGAGCTGAGCTGTGACGGCTGTGGACCCGCGTTGCGCCGGCCCTGCCTGAGAGAGGCTGGGGGCCTGCACACAGCTCGGCCCTGTGCTTCCTTGCAGCCAGCCATACGTTGTGTGCCGGCAGTGTCCTGAGTACAGAAGGCAGGTGGCGCAGCCTCCCCACTGCCCAGCATCCGAGGGTGAGCCAGGAGCCCCGCAGGCCCTGGGGGATGTACCCTCCACGTCCGTCAGCCTCATGACAGGTGAGCCACGCCGCCCTTAGGCCTCAGCCTTCCCGCGAGTCACTTTATGGCTGTGCCCGGTGCTGACGTGCACGTGGCCACACTCTGCCGACCTCCTCTCTGCACCCCTTGCCCCCTTTGGGACCTGGCCTCAGTGGTCTCCCTGCACTCACAGTTTGTTGCTTTTTGTGACTGATTTTGGGTTGGAAAATCAGATAAGTAACTGTTGATTCGTAGCCACTCCTGAACACTCCTGGGAATTAACAACCCTGACCTTAATACTTGGCTCCTCCCCAGCCACTGCCTCAGGGCAGCTCACATCCCCCAGTGGGTTTGCCAGACCCAAAGTGATGATCGCGTGTCTGTCCCTCAAGTAAGAGGCAGGCTTCTCCTCAGCAGTGGCGATGTCTCCAGAGTTGGCTTAGTGCGAAATGTTTTCCCGTCAGGTGCCTGTTTCCAGCAAGGGGTGTCAGGTGCCATCCAGGAAAGCAGAGGAGAGCTGGGCAGGGGGTGTGGAGGCTGCACTTCTCCGCCCTGCTCACTCCGGACTCATAGAATGGGAAGATGGCCCTCGGGGTCCTGGCTTCCTGGCCACGGGTCAGGGCTGAGCACATCACGAGGCCGCTGGCCTGGGATGGATGCAGAGCCACATCTTTGTGCTGTGTTCTCAGTGGCCTCTTGTAGAACCCGTGGACAGAACAGACAAAGCAGTGTCCACCTGGACGCCTGTCCACCAGCCTGGGTTTGCCTCCGCCACTCAGCAGCTCCGTTTGGGTCACTGGACAGACTCCTTCCTTTGCATGGTGGGACCAGCGCCTCCCTCTGGGGTCCTGGATCCCTCAGTGGGCGCTCGGTGAATCTGGGTGGTGAAATTGCTGTCCTTATGGCCAGCATGTTGACCTCGCAGGGTCTTTCCTGTGTGGGTGGTGAGTGTCCAGGGAACTTGGCCAGGTGGGCTCAGACTTCTGCTGCCGCATCGGTTGGTCTCGTGCAACTAGCCTGTTCTTTGTTGATTTGAGAGATGGCTGTTCTCTCACCTGAGCGGACATTGAACACAAAACTTGTTTTATTCTATGTCATAGGTTCTATGGGGCTATCCTCCCTTTATAGGAAATAGTAGAAAACCTTCAACAGATTGGCCGGGCGTGGTGGCTCATACCTGTAATCCCAGCACTTTGGGAGGCCGAGGCAGGCAGATCACGAGGTCAGGAGATCGAGACCATTCTGGCTACCACGGTGAAATCCCGTCTCTACTAAAAATACAGAAAAATTAGCTGGGTATGGTGGCGGGTGCCTGTAGTCCCAGCTACTCGGGAGGCTGAGGCAGGAGAATGGCATGAACCTGGGAGGTGGAGCTTGCAGTGAGCTGAGATCACGCCACTGCACTCCAGCCTGAGTGACAGAGCAAGACTCTGTCTAAAAAAAAACAAAAGAAAAACCTTCAACAGATCTTTGAAATCTTGCTCTAGTCGCTAAACCAGTCATTATTGTTAATCCGTTTGGACTCCCCGAGTTTGGGTGGCAGAAGGTCCCTGGTGGTTTAGCGGGGTAGGTCTATGTCTTCCCCGGCTGTCGCAGGTGCACCTCCTCACTGTGCTTCTGGGCGGCATCTCTAACCTGCTGTCTTTCTGCCCTGGGTCCCACGTGCTCCCGCTGAACGTGCGTGTGCTTCAGCAGTCCAGGATTACGTGTGCCCTCTGCAAGGAAGCCACGCCCTGTGCACCTGCTGCTTCCAGCCCATGCCCGACCGGAGAGCGGAGCGCGAGCAGGACCCACGTGTCGCCCCTCAGCAGTGTGAGTGCCCACGCCACGGAACGCAGGCGGGCTCCCTCTGTTCTTCGGGGCTCAGGTTTCAAAATGGTGTTGGCCTTAGGGTACCCCATGAAGTAAGGATGCCGTTTCTTTTTTTCCATCTGTGTGATCAGTTGTCCCCACGTGACCATATTGAATAATCTATCTTTTGCCACCAGCTAGTTGCACTGCCCCTTCACAGACCACATCTCCATCCAGCAGGGGCTTGGCCTGGATCTGTGTCCATCTCCTGCCAGCACTGTGGTTGCTGTATAATGTGTCACTGTTAAACCTCCTAGATGAATTTTGATGCTTTAATATACAACTCTGGCCAGGCACAGTGGCTAACGCTTGTAATCCCAGCACTTTGGGAGGCCAAGGTAGATGGATTTTCTGTGTCCAGGAGTTTCAGACCAGCCTGGGCAACATGGTGAAACCCCATCTCTACAAAAATTACAAAAATTAGCCAGACATGATGGTGTACACCTGTAATCCCAGCTACTCGGGAGACTGAGGCCAGAGGATGGCTTGAGTCCGAGAGGAGGAGGTTGCAGTGAGCTGAGATTGTGCCACTGTACTCCAGCCTTGGCGACAGAGGGAAATCCTGTCCCAAAACAAAACAAATATATATATGCACGCACATACAGTTCTTACTGTTAAAAACGGAGCTTGTCCTTTATTTCATGGCTGTTTTAATTTATTCCTGCAGAAATGTCTGTTTATATCCTTTGCCTTTTTTTTAAATGACTTCCTAATTTGTCAGAGCTCCTTATATGCTGCTGAGCACCACAGTTGGCTCCTGCCACACACACCCGTGCTGCTGTGTGCACCGAGCCCTGTGTGAGCAGCACACGGCCACAGCACTGGTTCTGTCTGGAATGGCTAAAAATGTTCTGGGCACTCAGGAAACCAAACAGGTTACTTCTGGGGGCTGTACCCTGAGACTGGGCTTGGCAGGGGTGGGGCATGGCCTGCAGCGTTGGGACACACCCGGTGAGGTGACCTGGACGGTCGCTGCCTCAGGGGTCATCCACGGCAGGCACTGGCCGCTGCTGATGCTGCTCGAGGGAGGGCAGGTGAGAAGCCGCAGAGAATAGCTCGCCCCGTGCCTAACACACATGGTGGGCAGCAGATGGCAGCTCGGGCCAGCTTTTCCCCAGGAACCCAAGCTCTCGACTCTAATTTCACAGAGAATGCTTCGTATATAGAGGCATTTGTGAAGTGGCTGTAGGCGTTAGAAGACTTAAGGACTCAACCCTGTGAGAATTTTAGCGAGGGTTTAACTAATATTATATTTTAGGGATTTCCATTGTATAGAATATCAGACAATTAAAAATAATTTCTTTTGGGAGGCTGAGGCAGGCGGATCACAAGGTCAGGAGATCGAGACCATCCTGGCTAACACAGTGAAATCCCATCTCTACTAAAAATACAAAAAATTAGCCAGGTGTGCTGGTGGGCACCTGTAGTCCCAGCTACTCTGGAGACTGATGCAGGAGAATGGCGTGAACCTGGGAGGCGGAGCTTGCAGTGAGCCGAGATTGTGCCATTGCACTCTAGCCTGGGCCACAGAGTGAGACTGTCTCAAAAAATAAATAACGTCTACAAAACCAAGGTGACGACATGAAAAAATACCTAGGTAGAAAAAGGCCACCTAGACTGGGTGCACGGGCTCACGCCTGTAATCCCAGCACTTTGGGAGGCCGAGGCAGGTGGATCACCTGAGGTCAGGAGTTTGAGACCAGCCTGACAAACACGGTGAGACCCCGTTTCTACTAAAAATGCAAAAATTAGCCAGTTGTGGTGGGCACCTGTTACCCTAGCTACTGGGGAGGCTGAGGCAGGAGAATCGCTTGAACCCAGGAGGCAGAGGTTGCAGTGAGCCGAGATTGCACCACTGCACTCCAGCCTAGGCCACAGAGCGAGACTCTGTCTCAAAATAAAATAAAATAAGAAAAGCCACCTAAGTATGTGCGGTTGGGGGCAAACATGTTGCATGTTCAGAGCTACAAGGAAACCCATCAAAGCTGTGTTAGGGGGATGGAGAAGGTGAGATTTTTTCCTTTCGTGGCTCTCACTGTTTTCCTGGGATGAGCATGTGGTGTGCAGTGTAAGAAACGATATGGGTCTGGGGCTGGGTGCTGTGCCTCATGCCCGTAATACCAGCACTTTGAGAGGCTGAGGTGGGAGGATCACTTGAAGCCAAGAGTTTGAAAGCACCCTGGGCAACATAGTGAGACCCTGTCTCTACAAAAATAAAAAACAAATTAGCCGAGTATGGTGGCATGCACCTGTAGTCCTAGCTACTTGGGAGACTGAGGTGGGTGGATCCCTTGAGCCCAGGAGGCGGAGGTTGCAGTGAGCTGATTGTACCACTGTGCTCTAGCCTGGGCAACAGAGCGAGACACCATCTCTAAAAAATAAAAATATGGAAAACGTGAGCCTGGCCTTTTTTCAGGGCTACAACTCCCTGTCATCACAGTCCTGGGATGTGGCCCTGCCCTGAGTTCCATGAGACTCCTCCTGAACAATGTTTCCAAAGCGAGTTGAGCTCCTGAGCCTGGTGCTGATGAATTGTGTCAGAGACAGGACTCAGCACTGGGTGCGGGTAACGAGTGCCTCTCTCCACAGGTGCCGTCTGCCTGCAGCCTTTCTGCCATCTGTACTGGGGCTGCACCCGCACCGGCTGCTTCGGCTGCCTGGCCCCGTTCTGTGGTAATACCGGCTCTTCAGGCCCCAGTTGCTTTGACCTCTGCATGTTCTATTGGTGAACTTGAGGGCAGGGGATGGTGGGGTCCATAGCCTGATGTTTACAGGGGTGAGGCCATGGTTGGTCATGTCATCGGATGGTGACATTTTCCTGCTGATCTGCGGAGGTGTGTCAGATTCGTGTTGGCTGAAAATCAAGCCTTACTGGAAGGATTAGGGGACGTACTCCCAGGACGGAGTCCTTGCCGCAGGGTTCTGGTGTCGCGATACCAGACTAGGTGCTGGGGTGACTCGAGAGCTGATCTTTTTAAGGAGGGAGTGGAATGGAAATCATTTCGACTTGTCCTCTGTTTAAGAGTTTTATCACTGAACTTCTTATTCCTTCTAGAATCTGTAATGAAAAGAAATGTGTTTATCCTCAGTGTGGGGCAGACAGTGCTTTCCTGCGACGTCTTTATACACAGGTAACATTGCACCTTCATCTCGGCAGAGCTCAACCTGGGTGACAAGTGTCTGGACGGCGTGCTGAACAATAACAGCTACGAGTCGGACATCCTGAAGGTACTGACCCGCCGCAGGCTGGGGAGCCGGGAGCCGCGTTTTCTCGCTAGTGCAGCCAGCTGGTTCTCTGCATTCCGTTGGTGTTTATCTGTTTTTCCCGCATTCCAAAAATAGGTGTTTCCTTTTTGTGCCTCCTGCCACGGATCCATAGGAGCCGCCTCCCACAGCTCTCGGGAGGAACTTGGAAGCGCTACCCGGGACCAGGGCGTTTTCTCTGGTCCCTTTCTCTTCCGGCCATTTGCTTTCCCGCGTCTAGGAAGCTACCTCGGCTTCTGGGGTTTGTGTGTGTAACGTGCGCATCTGCCCTCTTGCCGAGAGCACACACAGTGGTGGGGCCTTGACACTTGCCACAGACACACCTGGCAGGTGCCCGCTCAGCCCCACACTCTGCTTTGATGCCCACAGAAGGAGCTCAACAGCTCGTGTGTGTTTAAAGGGCACGGAAAACAGATGCCCAGTCCTCAGCTTTTCTTGTCAAACAGACTGGGCTCATTGTGGGGCTGTGTGCACCGTGGCCAGGCTTTCGTGTCTCATTCACACCTGGGCTGTGAGGGTCTTGGCAGAACTTTTGAGAGCCTCTGATAACTCCTACGCTGGAAGGTCAGAAGTGAGCCTTCCTTTTGGGACTTCCAGGAGGCTCTTGGACAAGACTTCTCGTGCCGCAGGCTGTGAACGTGCAGCCCTCTGCAAATGCCACTCGTAAGGGGCTGAGCTTCGGCTTTCTGCACCTTCAGGGATCTTTTTTTTTTTTTTGAGACGGAGTCTCGCTCTGTCGCCCAGGCTGGAGTGCAGTGGCCGGATCTCAGCTCACTGCAAGCTCCTCCTCTCGGGTTCACGCCATTCTCCTGCCTCAGCCTCCCGAGTAGCTGGGACTACAGGCACCCGCCACTTCGCCCGGCTAGTTTTTTGTATTTTTTAGTAGAGACGGGGTTTCACCGTGTTAGCCAGGATGGTCTCCATCTCCTGACCTCATGATCCGCCCGTCTCGGCCTCCCAAAGTGCTGGGATTACAGGCTTGAGCCACTGCGCCCGGCCGGATCTTTTATGAAATGTTTTCTATCTCATTATTTCAGCGTTTCTTCCTCTAAACGAATATTGCTTATTCCTCTTTTTTGTGTGTGTGTCACAGAATTACCTGGCAACCAGAGGTCTGACGTGGAAAAACATGTTGACCGAGAGCCTCGTGGCTCTCCAGCGAGGAGTGTTCCTGCTGTCTGGTGAGCTCTTCTCTTGCCCCCTGCTCTAGGGTGCGTGTGACTTTCCAGGGCTGCACCTGCCCGTCTGCTCTCCCAGTGACAACTCTGACCTTCACCCATCCTGGAAGAGAAGAAAAAAGATCCTGATGCTTTCGGGTTGTTTTTTGTTTGTTTGTTTTTTGAGATGGAGTTTCGCTCTTGTTGCCCAGGCTGGAGTGCAGGGGCGTGATCTCAGCTCACTGCAAGCTCCGCCTCCTGGGTTTAGGCCATTCTCCTACCTCAGCCTCCCGAGTAGCTGGGACTACAGGCGCCCGCCAACCCGCCCGGCTAGTTTTTTTTTTTTTGCATTTTTTAGTAGAGACGGGGTTTCACTGTGTTAGCCAGGATGGTCTCGATCTCCTGACCTCGTGATCCGCCCGTCTCGGCCTCTCAAAGTGCTGGGATTACAGGCTTGAGCCACCGCGCCCGGCCCGATATCTTTGTTAATTAAGGGTATAGCACGTTTTGTGTTGCAAATGTTTCCGCTATAGCAGTAGCTCACTTTTGTATTTATTTTCATTTTGAGGTTTGAATTGTTGTCAAGTGTACAAATCCTTCCTCTGTGCAATTTGGTGTTCCAAGACATACTTAGAAATAGCTAATTTTCTCATTTTCTTCTTAGTAATTTTTTGGGAGTTTTAATATTTAAATTTTATATCCACGTGGGGCCAGGTGCGGTGGCTGATACCTGTAATCCCAGCATTTTGGGATGCTGAGGCAGGCAGATTGCCTGAGGTCAGGAGGTCGAGACCAGCCTGGCCAACGTGGTGAAACCCCAACTCTACTGAAAAAATACAAACATTAGCTGGGCGCAGTGGTGCATGCCTATAGTCCCAGTTACTCGGGGGGCTGAGGCAGGAGGATCAGTTGAACCCAGGAGGCGGAGGTTGCAGTGAGCCGAGACTGCACCACTGCACTCTAGCCTGGGCAACAGAGCGAGACTTGGTCTCAAAAAATAAATAAATAAATAAAATAAATGTTATATCCATGTGGGATTATTTTGCTGTAAGAAAATAAATTGGTAGGACTGGGCGCAGTGGCTCACGCCTATAATCTCAGCACTTTGGGAGGCTGAGGCGGGTGGATCACGAGGTCAGGAGATCGAGACCATCCTGGCTAACACGGTGAAACTCCGTCTCTACTAAAAATACAAAAAATTAGCCGGGCGAGGTGGTGGGCACCTGTAGTCCCAGCTACTCGGGAGGTGAGGCAGGAGAATGGCATGAACCCGGGAGGCGGAGCTTGCAGTAAGCCGAGATCGCGCCACTGCACTCCAGCCTGAGCGACAGAGCGAGACTCTGTCTCAAAAAAAAGAAAGGAAAAAATTGCTGTCTAGGTTGACTTCGTTCGTGTTTTCTGATGGTGTAGCCCATTGTCTTCACCCCAATTATGGTCAGCGCGTTAGTTTCCCGCTGCTGTCGTCTGTGTGTGCTGCTGTCGGGAAGGTGGCGTTGCTGGGTAACTGGCTGTGTCTGCATGAGGCTGTGTTTGTTCCAGATTACAGGGTCACAGGGAACACCGTGCTGTGTTACTGCTGTGGCCTGCGCAGCTTCCGGGAGCTGACTTACCAGTATCGGCGGAACATTCCTGCTTCCGAGTTGCCAGGTGAGGACCCCGACCCCACACGGCTCTTGTTCTGTCTGGGTTGGCTTCTACACTCTTTTTTTGGTTTTTTTTTTGAGATGGAGTTTCGCTCTGTCGCCCAGACTGGAGTGCAGTGGCACAGTCGCGGCTCACCGCAACCTCTGCCTCCTGGGTTCAAGCGATTCTTCTGCCTCAGCCTCCTGAGTAGCTGGGATTCTAGGCACCTTCCCCTACGCCAAACTAACTTTTTGTGTTTTTAGTAGAGTTGGCCAGGCTGGTCTCGAACTCTTGACCTTGGCCTCCCAAAGTGCTGGGATTACAGGCATGAGCCACCCCGCTTGGCCAGCACTCTCTTCTTAGCAGACAACCTGTTTGCACTTTGCTCTGTGTTCTAAGCAGAATTTGGCCTCAGTCAGGAGCCGGCAGGACAGACAGGCCATGCCGGGCCGTGGTTGTCTTAGGCCTTGCGTCTATTCGCAGTTATTCAAGAGTGTAACGTGGGTTTCTAAAACTGAGTCGTAAAGACATCCAATAGAAAGCTGGGGTAATTTTATTTCCTTAATTGGGCTGGGCGCGGTGGCTCAAGCCTGTAATCCCAGCACTTTGGGAGGCCGAGACGGGTGGATCACGAGGTCATGAGATCGAGACCATCCTGGCTAACACGGTGAAACCCCGTCTCTGCTAAAAAATACAAAAAACTAGCCAGGCGAGGTGGCGGGCGCCTGTAGTCCCAGCTACTCGGGAGGCTGAGGCGGGAGAATGGCGTAAACCCGGGAGGCGGAGGTTGCAGTGAGCTGAGATCCGGCCACAGCACTCCAGCCTGGGCGACAGAGCGAGACTCCGTCTCAAAAAAATAAAAATAAAAATAAATAAATATTTCCTTAATTGGGTTTTTATTTTTTAATTTTTATTTATTTTATTTATTTATCTTTGAGACAGAGTCTTACTCTGTCACCCAGGCTGAAGTGCAGTGGCGGAATCTTGGCTCACTGCAACCTTCCTCTCCTGGGTTCAAGTGATTCTCCTGCCTCAGCCTTCCAAGTAGCTGGGATTACAGGTGCCCACCACCACACCTGGCAAATTTTTTGTATTTTTAGTAGAGACAGGGTTTCACCATGTTGATCAGGCTGATTTTGAACTCCTGACCTCAGTTGATTTACCCGCCTCTCCTCCCAAAGTGCTGAGATTACGGGCATGAACCACCGCACCTGACCCTCAATTGGGTTTTTAGTTAAACATGTGTTTCCTTTCCTGAAATCTCAGAAAGGTCCAAGGAGACTAGTTGTGGAGGGACCAGAGGCTGTGCGTTTCCCCCGCAACGTCTGTCTTTGGGTCTCTGCTGAAATTCAGGTAGCGGAGTGGGTGTGTGCAGTACATCTCATAGATGCGTAACCCTTCTGTTTTTCCAGTGGCTGTAACATCCCGTCCTGACTGCTACTGGGGCCGTAACTGCCGCACTCAGGTGAAAGCTCACCACGCCATGTGAGTGCAGCTGGGGGCACAGGCGTCAGCTGCAGGGTGATAAACGAGTTCACCGCCTGCTTACAAATACGCTGATATGGTCATTATCCTTCTCTCAGGTTGCATCCTTTAGGAACCGCATCTTCATTTAGAAATCCTGCTCTTCCTTTATCCCTTCATTTCATGCAGTCTTATTTCCATCTTCCACCTCTGTGTCTTCCTGTCTGGAGCTGGTTTATCTGTCGTCTGAGGCATCCGGGGCACAGCCCATCGTTTCAGGCTTAGCCATTTCTAAGTCGGAGGCTGTAGTCTCTGAGGGCCTCAGGCCCCCCTCGCATAGCGCTGCGCAGCTGGGTTCTGGTCCGTACCGTGAGCAGGCATTTGTGATCGCTGTCACATTGTCACCCTCACGTGGTGTCTTTCCCAGCCTCCTTAAAGGAGGTTCGCGGCGCCATCTGCATTGCCCTGGGAGGTGTAGGTCAGGAAGCATCTCTTAGGTTAGGTGATTGTGTAAATCACTCCCGTGGCCAAGGAGTTCAGATGAAAGTGATGGAGACAGTGCCGTCAGGACGAGATGCTGCGAGGACTCAGATAAAGGTGCCTCCCTCGCAGGGATTTTGTGGAATACAAACCTTGCTTTGTGTTTGAGCACAAACAGCACATGGAAGAGACCATGTTGTTAAAAAAAAGATTTCACTGTTGACTGGCAGACAATTTTCAGTAGAAATGTACATCAGGAGAGCAGAGCCGTGCTGGTCCTCCTTGCCACGGTCTGTGGAGAGGAAAGGTGGCCACAGGCCTTCCAGCTTGGCGTGTCTGCCTCAGCCCTGTCAGCAGATGCCACAGGGATGCCCGGAGGACGGTCGCGACTTTTATTTTTCTCTTAAAAAATTATCTAAGTGTTTACATTCTTTTTTTTTTTTTTTTATTTTTTGAGACGAAGTCTCGGCCTCTGTCGCCCAGGATGGAGTGGAGTGGCCGGATCTCAGCTCACTGCAAGCTCCGCCTCCGGGTTACGCCATTCTCCTGCCTCAGCTCCCGAGCAGCTGGGCTACAGCGCGCCCCGCCCACTCGCCCGGTAGTTTTTTTTTGTATTTTTTCAGTAGAACGGGGTTTCACGTGTTTAGCCAGGAGGTCGTCGATCTCCTGACCTCGTGATCCGCGCCTCGGCCTCCCAAAGTGCGTGTGCTCTACAGGCTTGAGCCACGGCGCCCGGCCCCAGCCACCCTCGCTCTTCCCGTTCTTTCTTTCTTTTTTTTTTTTTGAAATGGAGTCTCGCTCTGTCTCCCAGGCTGGAGTGCAGTGGTGCGATCTCAGCTCACTGCAACCCCACCTCCTGGGTTCAAGCGATTCTCCTGCCTCAGCCTCCTGAGTAGCTGGGACTACAGGTGCTCGCCTCCACATTAGGCTAAATTGTTTTTGTAGTTTTAGTAGAGACGGGGTTTCACCATGTTGGCCAGGCTGGTCTCGAATTCCTGACCTCAAGTGATCTACCCACCTCGGCCTCCCAAAGTGCTAGATTACAGACATGAACCACTGTGCGTGGCCAGATGTTTCACTTCTGTTTCAAAATTTTAAAAGGGAAAAAGAAGTTTACCTTTGGGGGTTAGTTGCTTTGATTTTGTAGAAAGCACACACTCTTTCTCAGATGGCTCTTTCGGTGTATGGTTTCAGAATGGGTTTATTTGAATGCCTCTCCAGTGCTCTCGTGTAATTTATTTGAATGCTTCTTTGATACTCTTTTGTGTAATTTGGCCATTTTCTCCCGGCAGGAAATTCAATCACATCTGTGAACAGACAAGGTTCAAAAACTAAGCATCCAGAGGCCCCGAGCAGCTTTCAGCACTGAAGGGGAAGAGAGCGTGTTTTTAAAATACAGAGACAAACATGTCAGGGCGTTTTCACAGCCCCCTGAGGGACGCAGGGTCTCCGGCAGGTGCTCTGGGGTGACTCTTCTGTGGAGCTTTACCCTCTGAGTGAGACCCTCCCCAGAGCCCTGGGGGCCACAACCCGCCCTCCTGGCGAGTGCTGGGTGGGGCTCGTGGTGGCGTGAGCAGCAGAGACGAAGCCTTTCCGTGACACGCAGCCGTCCCGCCCAGAGGGGCAGGTTTGCTCTTTTGTATGTTTTCCGTAACCACAGGTAAAGCAGCAGTCTGTTTTCAGGACGAGTTTCAAGGGAGAAAGGGGACAGTTTATCAAAAACATTGTTTCAGGAGAAGGGAGCATAAGTTTACAGCCTACAGGATGTACACAATATTCTGCTGTTGGGAAAACCACAGCATTTTATATATTTTTTATTTTAATAGGTTTGGTGCTTATCTTCTAATAAGATTTAAATATCACAAACTGTAGCACAAATAATATAATTTATAATTTACAAATTGACTAAAATTGGGTATAGTATGGTATTTGAAAGAATAAGCATATGCTTCTGTTTATTGAAAAAAAACTTCCAGTGTCCAAAACTGCTAACCCTCGACGTGGCCGTCAAGTTAGTCGCTCCTTGCTAACCTGTGGGTGACCACGGCCCCAAGCCTGGAGCTGGACGCAGGGCCCAGGACGCTCCACTCCCTTCACGGCCCCGAGCCCGGGGCTGGACGCAGGGCCCAGGTCGCGCCGCTCCCTTCACGGCCCCGAGCCCGGGGCTGGACGCAGGGCCCAGGTCGCGCCGCTCCCTTCACGGCCCCGAGCCCGGGGCTGGACGCTGGTCCCAGGACGCGCCGCTCCCTTCACGGCCCCGAGCCCGGGGCTGGACGCAGGGCCCAGGACGCGCGGCTCCCTCATGCTGCCCGGGCCCTTCCTCCAAGACCCTACAGAGCCTGAGGGGCACCTTGGCTTCCGCCTGTGCTAGGTTTGCCATGTCAGCTGGAATAATACTTGAAATTTTGATTTTTGGAAAAAAAAGTTTTTTATATTTTGTTGAAATCACCTGTTATCCTTGTTTGCAAACTGGTAACTTTTTTGCTTCTCAGGAATACAGTTTTCAGCTGTTGACTTGCTCTTGATAGGAACTGAGAAGCAGCACTGTCTCTGCGTTTGTGGAGGAAAGCCCTCTCTTTTGCATATTCTAATAAATGAGCCGCCTTCGCTCCTCCCCTCTCGTGTTGGGCTCGTGTGTGGGGCTGCCTCACTTCTCCACGCGAGGCAGGCAGGCCCTGTGCAGAGTGAGCGCTGAGCACCTCACTGCTAGTGATGGTCACTCTGCCACCTGCTGTCCCTCAGTGTCTCCATGGAGTCAGCCTGACCTGAGGTTGGGGCCTGAAGTCCGAGCATCCTGTGAAACCTGCTCAGGTCTCTTCATTTGGCCAGTGCTGGGAAACCACAACCTGTTCATCCAGTGTGGAGGCTTTGTCTTCAGCTGAGCACCAGATGAAGCCGCCATGCAGAGACCCAGAGTTTGTGCAGGGGCAGGGCTGAGAGGGGAGGTCCCGAGTTAGTGCAGGGGTGGGGCTGAGAGGGGAGGTCCCAAGTTTATGCAGGGGCGAGGCTGAGAGGGGCGGTACCTAGTTAGTGCAGGGGTGGGGCCGAGAGGGGGAGGTTGCGAGTTTGTGCAGGGCTGAGGCTGAGAGGGGAGTCGGCATTCACCCATGGCCGCCCTGTGTCTGTGTCTTAGATCAGATGATATTCACTCTACCCCTTCCCATCTCCAAAAAGTAGAAACAAGAACACTCGCCCTGTGGAGGACGCAGAGCTTTGCTCAGGAAGGGCAGGGCAGCTCAGAGAGCCTCAGGGCTCCGGGTGTCCTAGGGACTCGCTCCTGCTTCCTCAGTCCTTCAGAGAAGTCCATTTCCTGGCCCACTGCGAAGGGCGTTTCTGCCTGGAGCAGTCGGAGCAGAGCTTGGGTTTGGCTCTGATGTGAGGGAGGCGGCCTTGGGACCGGAGCAGTTACCCCCCGGGTGTGGTAAGGAGTCGTGTTTTATGGAGGCAGGTGGCCGTGAACCCATCCCGTGTTTTCATGAGCTTCTGTACTTCCTTGTCCTCAAGACCCAGCCATCCCACCCAGCAAGACTGACGCACTGTGGTGGTTTTGGAGCCCTGCTGTCCTCGTGGGGTGGCTGCTTGGGTCATCCACAGGCTTTCTGGAGGACAGCCTGGCAGCCGCTGCAGATCCCACTGCGTCTGCCTGGCTCCTGGGCCCAGCCTTGGAACAAACCCAGGGCAGGGCTGCAGCTGCCCTCTGGCCCCACGGACCGTCTCCCCACGTGCTCCTCACCTGCGGCTCCCTCTGTGCTCCCTGGTGCCCCTCAGAAGCAGGGGTCAGCCCTGCCCACCCCTCCGTGTGCTGCCCAGGCTCCAAGCCAGGGAAGGGGGCCTCAGGTTCTAGGTAAGCCCATTCACCCCAGTGAGACCTCCCTGAGATGGCCTCTGTGAGGGCTCTCGACTGCAGCCAGGAAGTCCGGGCAGATTGGCTTAAAACAGACTGGGGGATTCAGGCCAACCCTCCTCCCTAGGCCAGCTACAAAGGCTGTTTTAAATCTGCTTTAAGTCATCTTAATGATCTCAGGGCCAGCAGGATGGGAGAGATGGGGGCCCAGGGGCTGCTCCCAGCACAGCGCGGCCTTCACCCCAGGTATGTGGCCAAAGCAGAGAGGCAGCTGAGTTTGGAAGGGGCTTCTGCCAGCCAGGGGTTCCTGGTGACAGCCCCCCCAGCTTCAGGTTGGCAGCCTGGAGAAAGCGGAGCAATGCTGGCCCTGAGGCAGCTGCAGCCGCCTCCCTGAAGAGGCGCCAGTGTCACTGCCAGGGCCACTAGGTCGCCGGGAGCCCTGCACTGGGAAGGGAAGGAAAGCATGAGAACGAGGGGATTTAGGAAGCTGGGAGTAGATCTTCCCTCCCGCCTGGCTTGATGGGAAACCAGAAGGCTGTCCCCGGGGCTGTCCCTGCTCTCTGCCTCCACGTGGGCTCTGCTTTGGCATGGCGTGCACGCCAGCTCCTGCGCCTTCGGACGCAGCTGTGTGGAGAGGCCGGGTCTTGCCTCCCTGAGGACGGACGGCCACGTGCAGAGTGCAGCCTAGTTCTGCAGACCTGCGCGCTGACCAGACCGGCAGCAGGACGGAGCCAGGTGATCTTCGGGGGAGCCACCTCCAGGAATGCCTAGTGCTGGTAACTGGTAGACGCCCTTATTCTTTTTTTTTTTTTTTTTTTTTTTTGAGACGGAGTCTCGCTCTGTCGCCCAGGCTGGAGTGCAGTGGCCGGATCTCAGCTCACTGCAAGCTCCGCCTCCCGGGTTCACGCCATTCTCCTGCCTCAGCCTCCCGAGTAGCTGGGACTACAGGCGCCCGCCACCTCGCCCGGCTAGTTTTTTGTATTTTTTAGTAGAGACGGGGTTTCACTGTGTTAGCCAGGATGGTCTCGATCTCCTGACCTCGTGATCCGCCCGTCTCGGCCTCCCAAAGTGCTGGGATTACAGGCTTGAGCCACCGCGCCCGGCCTAGACGCCCTTATTCAAGCATCCTCTACACTTAGAATTAAGTTACACTGAAAACAAAGGCAATGAGTGCTCAGGATGCACCACTTTCTGGTTAGTTCACCGCACCTGCCTGTTACTGCCGCCCGAGGGGTGTGCTTCTGGGGCCGGTGTGGAAGGGCGTCCCTTCCAGCCTTACCCACGTGGCCTGGTGGGAATGGGCCCTGGGAGGAGTGTTTGCACTGTGGAAATTGGTAAATGCTTCAAATCAGGGTGGTTTTTAATTGCTTTTGTTTTCTTCTGGAGAGAAGGTTGTTAAACACCAGCACAGTGCTGCACCAGGCAGCCAGCATATAATCCTGAGAAACAAGTAGTTGTTTAAACCACTGCATTTGGAGTGGTTTGTTACATAGTAATGAATAACCATCTCATGGTCCTTGAAGGCCCAGCACATACAACCCCTGCCTCCACCCCTCAGAAAAACCTCTTCTCCCTACCTGCTCCTCCTGGAGCCCCTGGGGTGTTCCTCTGCTTCTCCATCCAGCCAGCTCCTTCCCACAACCAGCCCCAGGTGCCAGCCCCTCCCCTTCCTGCAGCCTCTCCTCATTCAGGTTCCAGCTCAGCCGACTCCTGCAGGACTGCCCCCACCCCCTACCCCGCCAGCCAGTCTAGTTTCCCCCCAGCACCTGTCACTGTCAGAAAGGAAACATCTGTTTACCGTTTGTCTCCCCCCTCTGAAAAATAGAGCAGGGATCTTGCCTGTCAGCCCGCTGTTGTTTGTTTGTCTGAAATGTTTGACCCCAGGGCGGCATCTCCTGATCCCTGGGTGACCAGTTGGCTGCCAAACGGTGAAGGTCCTGACGAGCTGTCCCCTGGGCTTGAAATCTTTCCCGCGGCACAAACAGTCGCTCCTTCCTCTGTCACTCACTTTTTGTGGTTGTCTCCTGAGGCGGTGAGTCTAGATGGTGGGGTCTTTTATCTGTGTTCCTCACACAGAGCAGACACTTGGTTGTGCATGTGTGTGGAAGGGATGGACGCAGGAGAGAATGTTGAAGGCCATTAGACCAGGAATGAGGGCTGTGCACTGTGCTGGGAGCCTGGCATTGTAAGAGCCTTGCGCTGTGCTGGGAGCCTGACATTGTGAGTGCCGTTTGCTGTGCTGTGAGCCTGACATTGGGAGGGCCGTGTGCTGTGCTGGGAGCCTGCATTTGTGAGCCACGCCTCGCCCAGTGGTGGCCTTGAATGTGGGTCCACTCCGGCTGCTGGATCAAAACGCCGCAGAACAGGCGGCTTAAACAACAGAAAGTATTTTCTCGCAGTTCTGGGGCCTGGAACTCTGAGATCAGGGTGTCAGAGGGGCCGGTTCCTCTTTGGTCTGTCTCCTTGGCTTGTGGACAGTATCTTCTCCTTGAGTCCTCACATCGTCTTCTCTTCATGCGTGTCTGTGCCCTAATCTCTTCCTGCGAGGACACCAGTCCTATTGGATTAGGGCCCGCCCCAGTGGCCTCATTTTATCTTAATCATCTCTTTAAAGACCACACATACTAAAACTGGATACAGAGAAGATTCGCGTGGCCCGTGTGCAGGCATGACACGCAAATTCATGACGTGTTCCATGTCTGCAGATACAGTCGCCTCTGAGGTCCTGGGATTTAGGACTTGAACATATTGTAACACTCTGCCATGAAACCTCGCACGCCACGGGGTTGTGTAAAAATTGGGTGGTTTTGTTTGTTATTTGGCAAACCCCACATGCTGGATACTGTTGACACCCCGTGGTGGGCCGAGCTATGTCCACCTGTCCCGCCACCACGGATGTCTGTATCTGATCACTTGAGTCTTGCACAGTAAAAGGGGCTTTGCAGATATGGTGGAATCAAGGACCTTGAGATGAGCGGAGGATCCTGGATTATCCTGTGGGCCCCGTGTGCAATTGCAGGAGTCGTCGTAAGGAGGAAGCAAGAGGCCGGGTGCGGCGGCTCACGCCTGGAATCCCAGCACTTTGGGAGGCTGAGGCGGGCAGATCAAAGAGGGAAGCAAGAAATCAAAGGCAGGAGGCAGGGAGAGGAGGCTTGGTGACAGCAGAGGCCGGGGCTTGGTGACAAGAGGCGGGAGGGATGTGCTTTGCAGGGGGAGCAAGGGCCTTCAGCGGGAGAGGAGGGCAGGATGTCAAACAGAAAAGAAAACAGATCTCCCTGCAAGGGCCTCCAGAAGGAACCAGCCCTGCCTGCCCCTTCATTTTGGACTTCTGAGCTCCAGAACTGCAAGAGAGTAAGTCTAGTTTAAGCAGCGAAGTTGGTGGTAACTTCTTAGAGCAGCCACAGGAAGCTCACCACCCCCCACACACTCTTCCCCTTTGGTGTTTGTTTTCAGGAAGGTCCAGTCTGTTCTCAGAGGTGCTGTGGTTGGAGGTGGAGTGTGGGGCATGGCTGAGCACCCAACACCCTCTTCCCTGCTCCCCGCATGTTCCTTCACCCTGTAGCTCTAGGTCTCTGTGGCAGACACTCGGCTCTAACTGCTGACTTGATGTCTCCACTTGGTGTTCAAACATCCCAGATTCATGTTGTCAGAGAGAGCTGTTTCCAGCGGGGACCCCAGGCCCACCAGGTGCGCCCCACAGACCGGCCCTCTCCACTGTCAGAAGGTGGCATGGCCTCACTGTGGCTCAGGCCAACCCCTAGGGGTCGTCCC